AAAAAAAAAAAAAAAAAAAACAAAAAAAACAAAACAAAAAAAAAAACAAAAAAACAAAAACAAATTGTCAATCCTGCCTCAATAGTTAAGTTTTAGAAGCTTTCACAAGAAACTTAATGGGCGAGTGGTCTTTTAGGATACATAAAAATCGGTGCGCATCATAAATCAATAAAAGTTCAATAACTGCTAAAAATTTTAAATTTTTTTTTTGGGTGTTTATTTCAACTATTTAACGAAGTAATATTAATCAACTTCCATAATTTCATTAAAAAATGGAGCAGAAGGAAAAAAAAGAGGTAAACGCTGAAAAAAAAGGGGTCAGACTCCAGCATCTCAAAACAGTTAGAATGAATAACATTAGATAACTGACTATTTAAAATCAGTAAAATCAAGAATGCCCCTAAAACAATCACCAATAGACCAAATAACATCTACAACCACAATTACAAACAGAAAAAGAAAAAAAAAATGACATAAGAAAGAGCTGAATTTGTTTTCCACCAGTTACTACAATACAAGCTCGAAATGCTAAAAATCCTTTTTTCACTAAAGAGTTACGAGACATCAAGTTCCGACATTACAAATCGAAAGTTACACAAATGTAGATTCACGACACCTTGGTGTCACTGAATTCAACTTCACAAATCATAAAGAATGGCACGGAGAAACGACAATCAATTTTTACAATACATTCTATCAAATGAAGATTTGAAAATACATGGAGATTACAAATGTGCAGGCTTACTACCTCAGCAACGCCACCAGCAACCGCCTCCCGCGTCTCCTTGACATGACCATCCCGCTTGTTCTGCAGACTTCCCGAAGAGCAGGTCCTCAAACCACTTCCATACTTTCTCTCTTCCTTATGTTTACTTTGCTTCTTCCCACTCGGGCCACTCCCTTCTTCACCACCAGTTTCCCTTTTCCTCTTCCTTCGCTCCCCGTCTGATTGCCTCACAGAATCAAAATCTTCAAAATTGCTTTGCGGATAGGTCTATTTGGTAAGCCTCCATCTTCAAGCCAACTTCTTGGCAGACTCGGGGCATGTTCTTCTGTCCAAAAAACTCAAAAAAAGATAACTCGAGTTTCAACTTTATTTAAGTTCATGTTCTTTTAAGTTTTAATTTTATTCAATTTTACTCAACTTTATTCAAGTTACAACTTCAACTCAAGTTATAACTCAAATTCAACTCAAAAACTACACTCAAATTACACTCTAAAAGAACAACCCCTCAATATTCCACGATCTAAAAACTCTTGTTGAAGAGGCTTCCCGCTCCAAAAGCAGTTCGATATTTCGAACTGAAAATTCTCTCCCCACTTTTTTTTTTTTTTTCTCGCCATGGCGCCGGGTTGGCCGCCTATTTTGTTTAGTTTGTTATTACTTTTCCCTCTCAAAATCAATTTATGTTTGTAGAAAAAGTTGATTTTAGTGTTTAGTAAATTTCTTTAAAAGTATTTTTTGAATAATTTTTTAAGAATCTACAACTAAAATCAGAAGTAGTCTAAAGACAATTTTAGCTTTTAAATTGGGCAAAAATCAGCATAATACAATTAATGAAACTTTCATAATACTGATAATACTCTTAATGAAATTTAAAATTTTCAATCTTCTCAATCTAAAATTTAGACTCATAATATATCATAATATAATAGTAATATTGTAACAAATAATATCATAATTATATTAATAACTCTAACATTATTATTTTATCATATAATATAATATTATAATAATATTATAATTATTTTAGTAATATGATATTATAAGTATAATATAATTATAATATGATATTATAATTATAATG